TAACTAACAACTACTAACAAACTAATCCTTCTGCCTCACGTGCTAGTCACGTGCTCGTTCCTTTCCTCAATATACTGTCCACAATTAAAACAACCTTATCATTCAACCAACATCTTCATTATTTTCATTTGTGGTATGAGAGGTGCCTCATTCAACGAAAGAATCAACTACCACATTCTGTTATTTAAGTCTTTTGGGAGTTACGCCAGCAATCATACTCATCAATGCCGAATTTTCCTATCTGCAGAGAATGATATGGATTGTGAAACTATTATTTATCTTCATTTGATAGTAACAAATAAGATTAAGATAATCTTGTCATAAGGATAAGGTTTTATTTTATCATATCTTTTTAGTTATTAGTTAGAGTAAAATAGAGATAACCTTATCTTAGATTTTAGATTTACCCAATTTCATCTTTTTAGTTAGAGATAGAGTTATAGTTTCTAAGAGTTGCAATCTCTCTATCCTAAAATATGATAGCATCCTCGGGAGGTCAACTAAAAGTCAAGTAAAGTGGGGAAAAATAGACCTTGGAGTAGAAACTTTGACAATATTGGAGGATATGAAGTCTAGTTCAACTTAAGTGCTTGGAAGGCTAAAATATGAAGATTTGCTTGTGAAGGAACTCAAACGGATCCAACTTGAATCCTCATGCCTTGGAAGAGTTTGGAAGGCCTCAAAAGAATTTCAACTTGTTGGAGGTTCACAATAGTTCATAAAGTGTCACATCTTGATCACATGCCACTTAAGTAATATTATTAGCTTTATAGCGTGTTTGGCCAAGCTTTCTTTTTTGGGCCAAAAGTGCTTTTTGACCAAATATTGAGGTGTTTGGCCAAGCTTTTAGAAGGAAAAAAGTGCTTTTGAGGAGAGGTAGGAGCAGTTTTTGAGAAGCAGAAAAAAGTAGTTTCTTTCCAAAAGCACTTTTTTGAGAAGCACTTTTGAGAACGTGCTAAAGTTTTGATAGCTTGATGCTCAAGTTATCCCCAAGAGAGCGAGTTTTAAGTATCTTGGGTCTATTATCCAAGGTAACGGGGAGATTGACGAAGATGTCGCACATCGCATCGGAGCGGGTTGGATGAAGTGGAGGCTCGTTTCCGGTGTTTTATGTGATAAGAACGTGCCGCTAAGACTTAAGGGCAAGTTTTATAGAGTGGTGGTTCGACCGGTTATGTTGTATGGAGCTGAGTGTTGGCCAGTCAAGAACTCCCACATCCAGGAGATGAAAGTAGCACAGATGAGGATGTTGAGATGGATGTGTGGGCATACCAGGAGAGATAAGATTAAGAATGAAGTTATCCGAGACAAAGTGGGAGTAGCCTCCGTGGAGGACAAGATGCGGGAGTCGAGGCTGAGATGGTTCGGACATGTTAAGATAAGAAGCATTGATGCCCCTGTTAGGAGGTGTGAGAGGTTGGCCATGGCGAGTTTGAGGAGAGGTCGAGGTAGGCCTAAGAAGTACTGGGGAGAGGTCATTAGACAGGACATGGCGCTGCTCCAGCTTACTGAGGACATGACTCTTGATAGGAGGGTGTGGAGGTCGAGGATTAAGGTAGAAGGTTAGTGGGTAGTTTTTAGTTGCTCACCGATAGTCTTAGTAGTACGCATGTCCCTTCATATTCTTAGATTTTTAATACGTTATGTGGTTTTGTTCGCTTCAGGTATTGTATCCCTTGTTGCTAGTATTTGTACTAATTATCCTTTATATCTCCCTTTTTCTTTTCTCTTCCCTCTTTCTTCCTTTCTTGCTATCCACTTCTTCTTATTACCTTCCTGAGCCGAGGGTCTATTGGAAACAGCCTTTATACCTTTTAGGTAGGGGTAAGGTCTGCGTACAGATTACCCTCCCCAGACCCCACCTGGTGGGAACATACTGGGTTTGTTGTTGTACTTTTGAGAAAAATACACTTAGAAGCAATTTTCAAAAGCTTGGCCAAATACTAATTATTGCTCAAAAGTGCTTTTTAAATTAATTAGCCAAACACAAATTGCTTCTCACCAAAAGCACTTTTTGAAAAGTACTTTTGAGAAAAGCTCTTCTCAAAATAAGCTGATTTTAGAAGTTTGGCCAAACAGGCTATTAGTTGCTGATTTTCCTTGTTTAGGCACGTGGGCCTAATTTAGATAGGCTTAGGGATTTCTTTTTTTAGAAATAGCGTCTAAAACGTGAGAGGCACCAAGTACATTCTCCTTGGTAAGGCGTAAGAAACCCTAATGATTCTTGAAGAACTCTACAGATTATTCATTCAAATGAGTGATTTTCCTTGAGGTAATCAGGGTTCTTTCTTGTTTCTTGATATCTTAGGTTCTTTATTGATACTCTACAGAAAGTGTTGTGTGTGTATAAATTTCATTGCCATTACTTGCTCAATTTAGGTTGAAGATCCTTAATCTTGCATTCTAGGTTTAGTTCTTGCTCGTTCTTAAATTCTTGTTCTTGTCCTAGTGTTATTCTTTATCTGGCCTTTCCAATTTGCCTAGTTCTTTCTTTATTCTCTTATTTATTCTTTGTTCTTTTGAGTTTCATCTAGTTTAGGGTTTGATTAAGTGTCTCTTTCAATTCTTGATCATGCATTTGATGTCTTGATACAACATCAAGAAAGCTAAAAATCCAAGAAATTCAAGAAGTCCAAGAATTCATCCGAGATTAGGATTTCTTTTCCTTAAAGATTGAGATTTCTTATTTCTTGTTTCCTAGTAATTTAATTTTTGTTTTAGTAGGATTATATTTGTAGTTCTAATCAAACTAGGATTGTTAGTTGGTATCTGATTCCTACTAGAATTCTTTTTCCTATTTTAGTTAGGATAGGTTTTCTTAACCTTATTCTTATTCTAATTTAATTAGGATTAATTTTTCTTAACCTTATTAATTTTACTCATTGTAAGGCCTATTTAAAGGGCTTAATATGCTGAAAATAAATATTGGTGATTAGTATTTCTAAGCTCTTGCTTCAAAAACGTGATTTACTTTTTATTTCACGGGATTGAAGAATGTGTGGGTGAGGTTTCTTTTCATCTTACATTCTTCTAACGTGAGTTTGAAGAATGATTTCGCTAGTTTTGTGAAAAACTTTAGCAGGGTGCTTTTGTTTTTCTCTCTTCTTTGTGCTTGAGAGGTGCAAAACCTTGAAAGTACGTCATGTCTTTTTGCAAGTTCTTGAGTCTATGCAATCTGATTGTATCTTCTTGTATTCTTTTTCTTAGTTTTTATTCTTTCTTTTCTAAGGTTATTCTTGTTGTTTTCTCCTCTTTTTGGTCGTGCAACCTCCTAGGTTCTCTTTAATCTTGTTCTTGAATTAAAATTCAAGTGATTAATACATTGCCCAATCTCCGTGCGCCATCAGAATAGGACCTCTTGTAATTTGTTTGGACACTTAAAATGATGAATTAATATCTTAAGAATTTATCCTCTCGTATTCTTCTTTCATTTTCTATTTCTCTCTATCATTCTCCCCTTTCCCCTTTCTCCCTTTTGGTACTATAACACCTCGAGGTGTCATCAATTTTAAGAGTCTTTTTTATTCTACTTCCACCCAGTGGCTAAGCTAGGAATACATAGTTATATACAAGTTGACTCAAAAAAATACTAGAATGTTACACCTAGGATTTTGAATCTGTGACCTAACAACTTGTTTGGATGGTTGTTATATGTCATTTCATAATGTATCATATTGTATTGTACTATATTGTTTTGATGAATATAATGTTTGGATAAATTGTATTATTTGTCGTCGTTTCATGATGTCAGAGACCAGCAATATGAAGAATAAACTTACAATATTACAAAGAAAAGTATGATATTAGGTTGAGCTATTATATAAAAGGTAGGATAGAGGATAAAATAGGATTATTTAATAATAAAGAAGGGCAAGATGAGAGAAAAAGATAAGGTAATGATGCGACCACACTCGGTCGTTACATAAAATGACAATTTTCGTTATTACGTAACGATGGATTTAACAACACGATAGAATAAAATTTAAGTAACAATTAAAACAAACATTGTATTTAAAGTAACGATACGATACAATACAACATGTAACAACCATCCAAACAAGCTATAAAGTAATTTTTTAACCCCTTTGCCACTATACTCAAACGTTCCCTTATGTTAAGGGGGTTCAACCATTTATATATAACAAAAAAATTCACTTCTTCCCTATTTACACAATATAATATTCCGGCGAAGGGAATTTAGTTGAACCCTCGTACCAACACTTAGCTACACCCTTGCTTCCACCTCATGGGGTTACTTTACTCTAAAGGTCATGAGATATTATTAGTACCAATCTGAAAGATAATAAGGCAGGTTATGATCCGGAATCCTGGCACCATGTAAATGGCCTGAGGAGCTCTGGCTTAGGTTGCTTAATATAATTATTCCTTTAACATCGGCAGTCTTCATTCCTGCTGAATTGGCCTTTCTATTTTACTCACAAGTTGGCATGTACCTTAATTCCGATAGATTTGCTTAATGAGTGATGTCTGTTAATAGCCTTGTTATAAGGTGGCAACTTGCTGCAAGTCATTCTACACATGTTAGCACTAACTTATTTCCATAGGACATCCTTAATTACAAGGTAGCAAACCTTCGACGAGAACAGCGATGAAAAGTAACCTGACTGTATGTTCGTAGCTGTTAATGATGTTGATTTTTAAAACTTTTAAGCTAGGTATAAGTCATTTTGAAAAGTATTTAGATCACATTAGTCATGCGTTAGAACCCAACTGAAGATAACCTTTGTGAAGTTTACAGCCTTGGTCTTTACTTTGTCATGATACTAACCACAAGGATTCAGTTCCAATTTTCTAGCCGATTATTAGGACCAGAAATTTTTTTGCTTTCTGGTATCCATGATGCCTTTGTATTTACTTGATAATGTTTGTTTTTACTTTTTAGCTGTTTTTAAACCCTTTTTGCGGAACATGTTGAGGCACATATTGATGTAGTTATTATTCCTTAACATTTTTTTTGCACACTTCACATTCATCTGCAGCAGAAGCTAAGCCACAATCTCAATCACCTCATCCTGGAAAGGCCTGTAAAACTGGTCAAGGAGGAGGAACTTCTTCGCGGAAAAGGAAGTCCAATCTGAAGCAGCAAGGACGGTATTTATGGAAGAAAGTTCATTCTAACATCGCTAATACTGAAGTCCCTGATGCGCTCTTAATTAAGGAAGAAAACATAGAAAGCAATGAAGCACCGAAAGAACCAGAAAGTTCATTGTTGGAGAGTGTTCCAGCATCTGATGACAATGCAACCATCACTCTAGCCTGCCAGCAGGAACCATCAACTTCTCTCAAGGAACTTCCTGTTGAAGTAGCTCCAGAGGATTTCGACAATTATATTAATTCACTTGATGACATTCTACTTTTGCCTCTTCACCAAAGTCCAAGCATTAGCTTTGGCTCTTGGAGAGAAAAAGAAATGACTGAAGCTCGAAAGAAACTTGTTAACCTCCTAAATATTGGTTTTCCTGCTTTATTTACCTCTGAAAAAATTACCGAAATCACAACCTTGTCTTTGGAGCTCCAAAATGATCCTAACCTCAGTGCTAGAGAGCTTTCAATGCTAAAGCTAATCCAAGAAATCCCATTGGCCAGCAACTATTTCCTGAAAGCTAAGCGATTAGCTAAGGAAGCTGACAAATTCTTTGCTGACCTTGAGGCTAAAGTGACTCATGTTTCTACGCTAAGGGATGAATACAATGCGTCAAAGCAAGAAATAGCTCTACTTGAGGTTGAAGACGTGTCTACTTCCTCAGCTATAAAGGAAATTGATGAAAAGATTGCCATCTTGCAATCACGTCGAGCTGCATTAGCCAAGGTTGCTGACAGAACTAACAAGAAGAGAGCTGAAGCAAAAACAAAGCAAAGAATGGTCATGGACAATCTTCCAAAGATAGTTGATGAAATTCAGGTGGCTAACTCCCAAAGCTCAGAGTGGAAGCTCAAGAAACAGAAGTCAGCAGAGAAGGAAGTTGAGATATTGACCAAATTTGCTCCACTCAAGGGGTTCTCCATCTAATTTAACTTTTGATTTTATCTATATCTGTTGTTATTTGTGTTTTCAAGCCTGAGGAAATTGATCTAACCTTCATTGCCATCTAGGGGTTTTGCTGTAGGTTGGTTATCTAGTTTTCATGAAATCTCTGGTCCAAAAAGGAAGAAAGAAGACAATCTCTGCTCCTCTATATGATGTGTCTGGGTATTTCCTATGTAGAACTCTTTCGTTGTAATATTTTGGAAAAACCTTCTGCTAAATGTTTAGGAGAGGTTAATTAGCCAGAAGGGAAATGCAACTGACTTGCAATTAAAATGCCAATATGAGATATGGACTAAATAAAGGTAGAAAGCCAGTGGAAATGGGAACGAGGCTATGGCCTATGGGTTTCCTTTTGCCTCCAAGAAAGTGTACATTGTCCTCTTCGTGTTTTGTTCTAAATACTTAGTGTATTCTCATAATTTATCCTATCATGTTTTGTCTAAAAACTTTGGGAATTTTTCTCCTACGCTATCCTAAAACTAGTGGTTTGCTTCTAGGTAGAATTCAGACAACCTATAATCTCAACAATTACAATGAATAATAGATCTTAGGCTAAAATTTATAAACCAGAAGAAACGATACAAGGAAAATATATGTATTGTATTGTTATGTAACAAATCAAAATGTCTTTATCACCTCTTAAGATTGTTGTCTTCCTTTATATTTACAAACTGATGTGGTAACTCTTCAAACATAACGTGAAATGAATACTCAACAACAAGTATAATCTTATCTTTATTTACCTCAAATTGTAACTCTTAAAACATAACGCAAAATGGATACTCAACAACTTGCATAATCCCATCTTTACCTAAACATGTTGAAGAGTTTTTATTCACCAGATCGATGCATCATTTGTTACTCTTCAAACATAAATTGAATGTATTGATCCGTCCCCATTTAACCTTACTGTTAGGTAAAGTACTTAGATTTGCCTTTATTTAACCGGCTAGACACGTGGAGGCTTTAAAACAAAAGACCCAACCCATTTGAAAATCCAACCCCACTAAGCATCATCAATACATTCAATAACAACCATCTTTTTGGACAATGTTTTCTAAATTCAATATGAGTGTTATAACTAGATTATATAGCTTCGCCAATTGATTATATTAACTATTAAATCTATTCATACACAAAATACTTTTTTAACATATATATATA